AAATTCTGTAGTTTCCAAACATCGTGGAGTGAACTTCAGGTTCTTGCAATCTGCTTGATAATTATACCAGCAGGGAACTTACTCCCTGTTCTCCAAGATTCATTCACTTCTCTCTGCTGAGAGGAATATCTCACATTTCCCTTTCTCTGATAGTCATCCTTGGGCATCTTTGGAAAACAACCCCTTTCTCTGCTAGTCATCTCCCTGGAACACAGTCAATTTGACCAGTTCAACAGCATCTTCCCACTCATCACACTCACTGCAAGGCATGAGACTGGGGGAAGTTTCTGGATCCTCAGTGGTCTCCATGAAGGTACCAGATACATTATTTCCTCTTGTCTTCCACTTCCTCTGCTCTTTGTAAATGCTTCCTTTGATTCCTGGCCTAGCACAAGAAAACCAAAGTGCCCAATGAAATCTCTCTTCATGCCAGCATTGTAGGAGCCCTGAAGGTAATGTCATAATTCATCTATCATCCTATATGTCCTTCTCCTGGCACCTTCCATAGCAAACACTAATCAGGGACAGATTCTGTCCACCCCTGTCCCCATTGATCATGGGTTCTGCCCTGATATAGGATATTGTTCCAAGACAGCAGGTCTGCAAAGCAGAGATGTTGGGTTACCTGAGATCCTGTCCTTGCACAACCAGTAGTTGCTTCAGAGGACTAGAAATGGCCAGGTCATAGTGAGTGTTACAGCTCTCAGTAAAGATTTCCAGAGATTTTCACATCTTCTGCTCATGTCAGTATTGATTGTGGGAAATGAAGCCTATCCCGGGCCTTTTCCTTAGATCTTCTAGTAATAGATAGAAGTAAGCCACAGAGATCCAGGCATGAATCAGGTGCCATTTGAGAGACAATAGTCTGGAGAACATCATGTTCTCAAGTGGCCCCTTAACTGTTGAGCAAGGGCCCCAACACTTGCACCTAACAACAAGGACACTTGCTCTGACTTTGAATTATAACTTTAAAATCAGAAACACTTCCTCAATTCATACTACTCTCCAGCCTCTCTTGATAATGAAACCAGCTGTCTTAGAACCTGCTATGAGAAAACTCAAAGCACTCTATATCTTCTTCCTCTTTATGAAATACCATACTGGAGAGATGAGACAAGACTTGGTGTCAACAGTAAAATGAAGGGCTGAGGGAACAGCACAGACTGGAAAAGACTAAAAACCACTGAATGCCTGTTTTCATAAAAGGGAAACAATTCAGAACAATTCAGGGATGCCAAAGCTCATTGCTGGTTGAAGTTTCCAGGTTGCCCTACCCCTAGAATCAAAGACACCTCCTACCTAGTCAAATGCAGAAGCCCGCATGGGCAAGAAGGAACTGGAGGCTCTGGGCTGTAGACTGCGGAGTACCCTGACGTCTCACTCTAAGTGACACTATTTCAGTACATTCTTGTGGAGGTGTTTCTTGACTAAGGTCATTTCTCTGTACCACCCCCCTAAGATCTACAACAGTTCAGTCAAACCCCTCAGCCCCATATTATGAACGAGTTCAAGGTGCATTTTAGAAGGACAAATGGCTTAGGCTTTGCCCTTGAACCCTTTCTAGGATACAACCACTAAAACATACCATCACTGCCAGCAAACCATCTTGAAGGGTACAATGCTGTTAGTAAGGAGAATTGCTCCAGGTGATCACATCCTTTCTCCTGACCCACTATATTTATTGGAGATGTATTCATGTTCCCCTCAGGCACTCTACATAGCCTGCCATAGACTTTCCAAGCCTCCCTAGGTGACAGTACTTTGGGGAAGTCAAGAACTGGTTCTTTCCTCTACTGTAGCTCAATCACTTGTCTAATTGGATGTCTAATTGATTTAAAGGAAGTCAGGGAGAGACAATGCCAATGATCTCCAGGCTTACTTTTTTCTGAAGTCAACCTTAGGATTAGAAGCCTGCCATGTCTATCAGCCTCATTAGTGAGAAAAGCGAAGCATTGCACCCAGAGAGTTATCTGGCTCCAGAAAATTCACAGGATCCAACTAAAGCTGGAAAAATGTTTAAAGGTAAACAACAATAAATTGTATTTCAGGACATTTTATAGTGGGAAGAGAGGCAGGCCATCAGAGTCAGGGATTTTCATATTCTATAAAGGGTTAGCAGACAAGAATCTTCAGTTCCCTTCAAGTACTAGAGTGGAAGAGGATTGGTGTATACCTGTAGGCATTGTTAAAATTGTTGCTGAGATTCACAGCACAGTGGTTTTGCTAATGTCCTCTTCCTGCAGTTCACAAGTATATCTGCTTTTCCTTTCCTCATCCCAACCTGCATACCTCATCTGAGCAATTTCAACGTGGTTGAATTTCTGAACAAAAATCAGTACATATGTTCAGGTAAACCCAGGACTTCTTAAGATGGGTAGAGGGGAAAATGTTTGAAATTGACATCATTTGGGGGAGTGTATTTGCTTTTCATGTGCACATCACTCGTCATGAAGCAGTTCTTTTGTCTGAAAGAGCTGTTCATTGGTAAAACCTATGCATTCTCCACCATCATCATCTTATGATTCGCTTTGTCTGAAAGACCATAAACATCCAGAAATCACAAATGAGCTTTTGGGACCCAAACTGAAATCACTTTATGTTGGTCATGAGAGTATTCTGTTTTCCAATTTTGCTTGCAGTAGAGAGACTCAAGTATGTGTCTAATTATCACCAAACACAGAAGTTGCTAATAAAAAATATTCAGACAGATTTGATGACATGGACTATGGAATAGCCTTTATGCCCTACCCGTCCTCTGGAGTTCATGGGCATACAGACTGAGGAGAGGGACAGGAGGGTAGAGAACCTTCTTACCTTTCCCTAATATGACAGAGCATAATATAGTCTTAGAGTGATTCTACCAGGATCTTGAAATTCACTACCCATAGAATGGGTGTACATTTGGGGACAAGTCAGGATTCTACCATCCAATGGCTAAATCCCATTCACATGTACATCTTAACCTTAACCTTAGATGCCTACTTGGATTCTGGAAGCACTAATTATTGGCTTCACAATTGCTTGTCTCCATCACATACCTTCTTTTTGGAATGCAGTTTCTCATTGCAGAGTTTAACTGTCTTGACATAACGAGATTCAACTTGAATTTTTAACCTTAAGCTGAGGCTAAAGCACACATATTCTGTAGAAATATTTTAAATATTATATTTTGTTCTTTCCTGGTCTAATGATGCTTTCATGATATTCTCATGATGCTGGGCACAGCCCATGATCAACAGCTCTCATCAGTCACATGACATATATGTAAAAAGCCAACACTTTACACTGCAGTGTGCTGATTATATTATTTTTGCAAGTTGTGTTTTGTGTTTATGTTCCATCATGTCTAGAAAACACTCATTTATTCATGTAAATGGAATATTCATACTCTATCAAAGTAATCTTTGTGTTAGGTGATTGTGTCAAAGTCTGGTTATGTACATGTTCTAAGAATGTGTCAGATGGGCTAGGCTATAATGTTTTATAGGGTGGGAATATTGAACACATATCTGACTTTTGAAATTTTCAATATAAGATGGTTTTAGTGCAATATGGCACACCAAAACTGAAGGCGCAACTGCAGTAATATCTCTATAGGAACTGTTGTGATATCCCTTAAAAATTTTGTTTGGTTCTCTTTTGCAAATTGTCAGGTCATCAATGTCAAAATAATAGAAGAAAAGCACTCATGTTTTGTGTTATCAAGAGAAAGCCTTGCAAGGAATGTGGAGTGAGTGTCTAGAGAAAGAAATGTGGAGTGGATATCTAGAGAATGGCAACAAAATCTGCTGGGTGACAAAATTCTCAAGGAGGAAGGGGGTAAAAATACTTCCCTTACTACCCATAGAGTAAGTGAAAATTAGCCAGATTGTCAAGTTTATTCAAGGTATAACAAAAACAAGCAAAGCAAACATTTGTGAATCAATGTTTACTGGGAGATCGCTATGCATGAAACAAATGTACTTAGTGTGAATAACTTTAAGATAGAGAAGGACAAAAATACACCTTACAATGGCTTCAGGCTCCAAAATTCTGTATCAGAAGAGCTTAGTAGAACTTCACAGACATACTAGTTTTTGGAAGGTGAGAATAAATAATGATTCCTATTACTCATGGCAGGAGACAATGAACAAACACACTGGGTACACCAGTGGTCAAGCAGGAGCCTGTGCTAGGAAGAACAATTTCAGCCCTCCTGTGGCCCATGGAAGTTATTTCGGATGGACACCAGGGAGAAGCCTATTGAGGGGGCCGAAGGGGCCCAGGCATGGGGCAGGGGTATTCCAAGCACAGGGAGGGACAGCATCAGAGGGCTGGAGGGAAAACAGCATAACTAAAGAGTGCTAGGGGAGGGGATGGCAAGAGTGGGGCTATGGGGATATCCATGGCCAGAGCATGTTGGAATGTGTGGCAAAGGAAGACTTTTAGGCTCATTCTAAGCTGCAGGAGCCATAGGAGGATAATTGGAAAGCTGTGGCTTCTGTAGACTTACCTTGGAGGGATTAATAATGGATCTCCTTAGGAATGGAGGAATGGCTGGGCTGCTGATGAGGAGGGTACTGCTTCAGGCTCCAGGTGGACTCTCCTTTCCACCCTTGATCTTGACTTTCCAAATTGCTTGTTTGGGGATGTGAGAGTCTTAAGCCATTTCCTCCTCCCTCTTCCCAGCTAACTCCATGTACTCCAAGCTTTTACCTCATTCTTCTGAAGGATTAGATGGCAAAGGGCAAAGCATCAGGGAAAAGTGGGTCTGACGATAGGTTTGCTGAAGCTATTGGTTATGGGCCTGACTTATAGTTGCAATTTTATAGCTGTGAGCCTCCTTGTAGTTTTGTTTATTTCCTGAAAATAGAGAATTATTTGGCCTTTAAGTCACTACTGTATTCCCACTTGTACTACACTACCTGGTGTACAGCTCTTCCTCAGATCCTGATATCTTCATGGGCCTATGAGGGAGATACAGAGGCAGAGAGAGAGAGAGATAGATGACAGATGGAGGATGGATAGATAGAGAGATAGAGAGATAGAGAGATAGAGAGATAGAGAGATAGAATCAAGCAACAGAATATCAAAGTCACTTTTTCAGTTAGTGGAAACTCTTTCCTCTGTTTTTCCTACTCTCTCACTTTAGACTTGCAGCTCCATACATTCTTCCCTTTATCTTTTATGCTCATGATGTGTGTCTGTGAATGACTAGACACTGGCTAGTGTATTTTCCTGAAGAGGAGATGGCAATCCTGACTGTGCTAAGTAATCTACACCTTATGTTTCTTTCAGTAGACCTCCAGGTCATTATGACGTGTGCAGCAATACTTGAATAGCTCTCTAGACCAGACCACTTTATAGCCTCTGGTGGATCTTCATTGTTACCAAACTTCAAAGAAGGACGATGACTAATGGAACTCAGAGGCCAGGCCACCACACTGCCTGCAGTTCCTGGACCTTGAAGGGTTGAGTTTCCTCATGGAGTCTTGTTTGTTGGTTGTACTTTGTTTTGGTGACAATAGAATTCTAACTGAGAACTTTGCCTACTAATGCTCTGCCAGTTGAGCCATGACCCCCTTGCCCATCTTGCTTTAACATTTGAGATAGGGTCTTGCAATTTTGCCTGAGTGGACAATTCCTCAATTTTCCCCTACTGTGCAGCTGGGCATGAAAGAGTGCCTCACCATACCTGGCCATAGCTCCTGGTGTCTTCAGCTTGTACTTGAAGTTTAAATACCATACTCTTCTCTCCTTGCCCATTAGATAGTCTCATTATGGTAGGAATAAGAGAAGCATAAAATGAGCATTATCTACTATTTTCACTTTGCAAAATGTGAAGGCTGAATTATAATCAAGCATGTTCATTGTTTTGGTTGTAGAAGATGGTGTCATAGCCCTACCATTTATTTTGTTTAACATCTCAAAATTGAAAAGGATAACAAAAATAGGGCTGTTAAACACAAATAATTTGGCCTCAACCTATCTCAATACTTTCCTAATATTCTGTGTCTCAAAACTGTCACCTTCCTTAGTGACATGTAAGCTACCCTGATGAACAAACAACCTGTAATCTAGATAAATGGTGTAGTATATCCTTGTACTTGAGCAACTTAATTTCAGGCAATCACAGCAGTGAAGCTTCAGCCAATCCCACACAGCCAACTGATCAGATCATGCCCATCAAGAGAAATGCTGACTACATGCATCAGGTTCTTTCTGAATGGAACTTCCTTTTCTTTGGCTAGGAAGTACAGGAACAAGGCCCTGGCAATGGCTCCCATGAAGGAGCCCTCTTTGAACCCCAGTCAAATACAAACAGCCATTTTTGTGGGCTCAGGGAACTACATGTCAATCACATGACCCTTTCTTGCTCTTTTACTCCCATTGTACCCTGCTGCTTGGGAAGGGTCAGAAGCCAAGGTCAGGGGTCAGTGTAGAGGAAGAGGTAGGAGCACCAGCACGAAGCAGATGGAGAATTCAATGCTGCTGCTTGCCAGTCTTGGCCCTTCCAGCTTCCCATGAAGGCCACCTGTACCCAGGAGAGACTATTTCCTTTCAGTGCAAGGTGACTGGAGAGGACAGTGTTCCTAGACAATACCAGTTGATTTTTCCATATCTGGATGTAAGCAGCTAAGCCATGGAGACCTCAGATTTCACCCAAGGCCCTGGGAACCCAGCACCAGGGGCAGGTGTGAACAGAGTTGTTTTGAGGAAGGAACTCCACCAGGCCAACTTGTTCAATGTCAGTGCTTGGACTGCAAAAGAATCCTTTAACATCATTGTAAATTAGTAGAAACCTACTAAATATTGTGTGCCCAAAAGTGATTTCAAAGTTAATCAAAAGAATTTTCAAGTTATTTCTCTTAGAAGACTTTAAATGTCAAATACATGCAAAACACTAGCTTTTGTGTTAGAAAATCACATTGCTTTATTTTTTATTTCTTTTATTCATATGTGCATACAAAGTTTGGGTCATTTCTCCCCCTTTTCCTCCGCCCGCTCCCTCTCCCCCACTACCCCCTCACTACCAGGCAGGAACTATTCTTCCCTTATCTCTAATTTTGTTGAAGAGAGAGAATAAGCAATAATAGGAAGGACCAAGGATTTTTGCTAGTTGAGATAGGGATAGCTATACAGGGAGTTTACTCGAATTGCTTTCCTGTACATATGTGTTACATTCTAAATTAATTCTTCCCAAACTAACCTTTTCTCTATTTCCTAGTCCCCTTCTGCTATTGGCCTCTGTCACTTTAAAGTTTCTCCAATAGTTTCTCTGCATTGAGGGCGACAAATGCTACCTAGTTCTTTGGATGTCTTACCTATCCTCATACCTCCCTTGTGTGCTCTCACTTTATCAGAAAATCACATTGCTTCATTCTAGGAAAAAACCAATTGTGCACACCTTTTTGGAAGGTAAATATTAAATTTGGTATAATGGGGTAAGAATAATAAAATAATGATAATAGCAATATCATCCAATGAAAACTATGCAACAGATTTCCCCTTCAGTGCAATATTGTTAACTGAAATACTATTCATCCCTATTTTCTAGGTCAAGAAGCTGAATTTTGAGACACTGAGTGAATTGCCCAAGTCATAGACCTGGTAGGTGGAACGTTTACCTCAATTCAGGGACCAAAAGGAACAAAATTAGTTTAGACACTTTACAATGTGGTAATGGGCACTGAAAATAAGTATGTAAATATTCCTAGCATGAAATTATGGCAGCAATACAAAGAACATGTGAGAGTGGCCTTCGGAATTTTCAGGATGACCTATGAGCTGAGAGATGTCCCTGTGGTTAAGTCGTCATGGGTAAGGAATGGTAGAGATCCTGAAAGCATCAGAGAGCAGGTACTCATGATTCTAGGTTCTGAACAAAGGTGAAGCAAGAGTGACAGGCCTTGTCATAGTGAATGGATAATGAACAGGCATTCTCAGAACCAAAGAGCTATGCCAGCCTTCTTTCCTAGAGGAGTTATTAGCCTTTTCCACTCCTCATCTACTGTGGCTGCCATAGCAGTATTTTATAGCCTTTAGGAGTTAGTTTCCACTTCATCAATTTTTTTATCTCCATAATTCCCACTTCCCTCTTTTACCTGCTTCTTTTGTGAATGTTGTGGTGTTCTGGGTATGAGGAGCAGAGAGCACATGATTGTGTGGTGGAAACTGGCAGTTCTTACGACAGTGAGGTTCAGGGAGTGTTGGTTCCTTAGCAAATCTCAGAGTGACCATGGAGATTTAGCCTGTTTGGGACATGCAGTAATCAACATTGGTCATGGGCAGAAATACAACAAAGGATTGTGTTTCAAGGGTGATTATGATGGAGTGGGTGTATTCAACAATGATGTATTGTAAGAACTTTTGTAAACATTACAGTACACCTCTGTTCAATGATAATATGGTAATAAAAAAGAGTGATTATGAATCTTACCCACCTTCAGAACATATTGGGGAAGCCATTAGGGATCCCTTGACTATCTGGATCTGGATGCATCATACTTTACTAATGTTGTGAGCAGGACAGAAAGTATAACTTAGATGTCTGGAAAAGAATGATGAAATTTCTTCTTGTGTGAGAGTTCCTTTCGAAATAAAATGGGTCAAACTGTCCAAAAAAAGTCTGTAAGGGAAGTGGCTCTTGGTTGCCTTGTTTCATTATTATTTGGAGATCTTTATCCCTTGGTGCACTAGAGAATCATCAAATGTTGCTACCTTTCACACCATGTTCTGGAGTGCCTGATCTATTGAAGTGAGTGTGAGACCTGAGAGTTGTGTTAAACAAAAACTAGCTCAACGCAAAATTTGTAATACATCCTGAATGTCATCTAGAAAGACTTTTATTGGGAGGATTAAAAGTCATTTCAGAACTAGGGATGTAGTTCATGGGTAGATATTTGCCAAGCGTATGAAAGGCCCTGGGTTTGATAACCACTATTGCAAGAAAACAAAAACAGATCTTTTGCAACAAAACATTTTCATTAGGTCAGTGTCATTAAAATAAAATAAAGGTGACCAGAAATTCTGAAAATATACATTGCTTTATAACAGATTGAATCCCCTTGACTGTTTCTTCTGGGGTGAGGGCACAAGTGTTTGCAATGAAAAGTGGACACAGAAATCATTGAGGCAGATACGTGTGCAATGACTGATGGGAATGTGGCTTTAAAGCACATTGTTCATTGTAGGTTTGTACAGTTTATCACTCAATGATTTGACACAGAGGGATGACACATTTAGCAAATCATATTGATAAACTGTTTATTATAGATGTTTTTCTCTTTCAGACTTTATAACCACTCCAAACAACATTAATTCAAGAGTTTGAAAATAGTCAATGTAATCATGATAAAAAATGAAGTTGAGTCTGTGTGAGCTAGTACAGGTCTATCTTCCCAGCACTAGGGATGCGTAGGCAGAATGATGGTGAGTGTGATGCCAGCCTGGGTTCCCTAGGGGAAACATGTCACACACAAAAAATAGATTTGAAATGCATTTTCTATATGAAATCTCCCTTGATTGCTTTCCCTGTGTTCTTAATCTCTTAAATTTACTTTCAAAAGTTCCACTAACAAAAATGTATAAATCAATGGAGTACTAGAGGACATCTATGACCACCTGCATGCATTTTTTGATTCAGTGGCAATATCAGGGAGTGAAGAAGAAAAATTAGTAAGTATAAATTTGTATTAGTGGAGAATAGAAGGGAACCTTTTGAACCATTTGCTACAAAAGTGTGCTGATATTAGCTTTTTTGGTGTTCTTTTAGAGAACCGACCTTCTCATCCTGATCAATAATCTGAGAGACTGACCTTGTGACCCATAGTTGACAGATATCATTAAAATAGGTTTTATGAAGGTAAGCCGTGGATTTGTTCTTGAGTAATGAGAATAAGTAGTGTCTGAAGACTATTTTCCACTTTGGAAATGTCATTAGTGAAGTCTTTCATTGCCTATTAATGTAAATGTTGATTAAATGTACTCTTCTTCAATTCATATGTTTCAATGACCCTTCCCAGTAGTTTCATGTATCTCAAACATGGATTAATTGATTTAAAAAAATTCTAAACCGTTTAAAGCAATGTGTCCCTCTCAAGCCATGTAATGAATCTGACTGTCTGAGTGTTAGGAAATGTGCATTTCCTACTATTCTTTTAAAAAATGAAATGTTGTAATTATTCTATCAGTTTAAGTTGTGTTCACTGAACATTGAGACTTTTACATAATATAGAATAGATGATATGATTTATTTATTAACTTGGAGATCTGCTGGGGGAGATCTCTGTCAGAGACCTCTAGGCAGTCAGAACCCTGTGAGGCATGGGCAAGTTTCTGTATGTTGTTTGTGGGTAAATTATGTAATAACTGGAAAATCTCTAAACTACCTGTGGGAAGTTTCTGTGGGGCAATTCAGGATCCTTGAGAAGTTTGGTATGTAAGGCTTCCCTTGCAAGTTCATTGTGTCATCCTCTAGTGACTGTGTATGGTGTCTGTGGGAAGGTCACATTTCATCCTCTAGTGCTTGTGTGTGGTCTCTGTGGAAGGTCATTGTGACATCCCCTAATTATTGTGTGTGCTTTCTATTGGAGGTTACTGTGACATCTCCTAGTGACTATTTTTGTGGTCTCTGTGGGCAGTCATTGTGAGATCCCCTGGTTCTTTGTGGCAGGCCATTGTAACAAAGCCTAGTGACTTTGTGTATGTTTTCTGTGGGAGGACATTAGGATATCCCACTAGTGAGTGTGTGTGGTCTCTGTGAAAGGTCATTGTGACATCCCCTAGTGTGTGGTTTCTGTGGGAGAGCAGTCCACACTCTCCTTGTATAAGTTTCTTTATAAGGTCTGTGCATATTTTATGTGGAGATCTCTTTAGGGGACATCTCTGTGGGATGAAGTATGTGAGGTCTTTGGGAAATCTCGTCAAAGTCTGTGTGTTTCAGTGAGCTGTATCTGTTTTCTCTCCATATTCTGTGTGGGGTTGTCATACTGAGGTTGCTGTGTAAGGTCTCTGGGAGTCTGAGATTTCTATAAGATCTGGGAGGCTGAGTAATGTCTCTGTGGGGGACTGTGAACTGTGTGTGTGGCAGTAAGAGGCCACGGTGGACATTTCTGCATTAGGAAGTCTCTGAGTCCCACGTGGAGCAAGTCTCCCTCAGAGTCTCTGTGGGAGGCCCATTGTGGGGGGAGCGGTTCTGTGACATCTGTGTAAGGACTCTGAAATCTCTGTATTCTGAGGAACTTCCTTGAATGCTGCTTGTTTCCTCTGTCAGAAGTCTCTGTAGTCGTGTCTGTAGGAGTACATCCTTGAGTTCTCTGTGTGATGATCTTTCAGTGAGTGTCGCTGTAGAAGTCTCTGTGTGGGTTTCTATGGCAAGTTTCAATGTGAGTCTTTGTGGAGCTCTCTCGGTGTGGGTGATGTGTGGGTGTCTGTGACAGAGTGACTGTGGAGGTGTTAGGGTGCATGTGTGTGGGGACATAAGGGTGGCACTTTTGTGTGGGCCTCTGTGGAGGGGTAGCTCATTGTGATCTCTGCACAGGTCTCTCTATGCGTTGCTGCTAAGGTCTCTGTGTGGATGGCTGTGTCCTAGAGTCTGTGAAATTGTCTGGGGAATCTCTGGGAGAGACTTAGTGGTCTCAAAGCATAGGTTTCTGGTGAAGACTGTGTAAAGATCTGTGGGAGTCTAATAGTGTGGGCCTCGATGGAGGTTTTTTTGTGGTCTTCTGGGCCCACTAGCTTCACCATCTGAGGAAGTTACACTGTCAGGATCTCTAGGGTCCACATCTAGCTCCTACACAAAAATAAACTGTCTCTCGTGACCCATTTTACAGTAACAACCTTGGCTATGTGCTTGTTACTAGGTTCACTCTTCTGGTCACTGTCATTATTATGCAGAGACAGGGCCTGTGTCAAGAGCAGGCATGCAGAAGCTTCACCTATACACCATGGGGTTGCCTAGTCCCACATGCAGAATCCTAACAGGCATGGGTATAGAACCATGCCCATGTCATGTGCCTCAGTGGTACCTCCTGGCACAGACCTCTCCAGAAAGGAATGATTGAGGCTCCTGGAGCAGCCTCCACATGGAGGACCTGGAGAATTGGCTGCTCCTCTCACTGCCTTGACCCAGCCTCTTTCCTACATGGGTGGGTCTTGTGATGAGCATTCTGGGATGGAAGCCAATAGAGGACTGGATGGCCATTCTTGTCCTTTCTCCAAGGCTGGAAACTCAGGCATTTTGGACAAGTCACTTCCCTCTCTGTGGACCAATCCCATCTGATTATTATTCCCCTTCTAGTCTCTGGGGCAAACAAGGTCTACGTGCCAAGACAGACTTGGTGTGAGAACTTAGGCCAGCCCATTGTTGCTCTTTGGTGCCCATATCTCCATTTGGAATAGTGCTGGTCCCATGTGCATGTGCAAAAGTCACCAGGCTATCACTGTCAGAGTTTTCTACACCAGGCTTTTCCATGAATTGTGAACTCCCTTCTGGAATTCAAGAGGCTATTTAATGCAGGTTTACTAAATACACTGTGAATAAATTAATCTTCCCTGCCTCAATGCCCTCCTTCCTCTCTAGTCTGTGTTGGAGTTAAGGGGGTTTCTTGAGTTCTGTGGTCTGGGAGTCAGAGCAGGGGCCCATGGGGTAGGGACAGTGTGAGTAGCTGAGTCCTTGTGGTCTCATCAATTCAGGCTGGGAGGACAGGGGATTTCTGTCCATGGCAACCCTTATGGCACCTCCATGTCACTGTGCCTCCTCCTCTGAATAAAACCTTTACAATTTTTCTCCCACATTTCTCTCTGGGCCTGTCTCGTCCCCACCATGTGCTGGATATAATATACACAGGTCCACTCAGAGTGGAAGGCAGGTGACAGTTGGGGAGGGTAACATGCACCTGTGCATCTGTCCTGTGACTGCCAGTGCCACACTGCAAGTTCCATCTTGGCCATTGGTCTACAGAGAGAGGAAAGCAGGGTGTCACTGCCATGACTTCTAGGCTGAGCTAAGAAGGGCGGGCAGGGTGCATCACCATCCCAGCCTCCATCAGAAAGTACAGGGGCTCCTGAGACATGCGTTGTCTTTTCCTCAGCAGGAAATACAAGGGCAAGATCCCTTCAACTCTGATCCTGCCTGCACCCTCTTCGTGACACATGGAGGTACGTGGCCCACGGGTTCCTTTGTTCACTTGCTCCACAGCTACACAAGTTCAAGGTAGAGGTAGAGGGAAAGTTTTGGGAGGTGGGTTGAGACAGACTCTGGATTCGGATCTGTTTTGGTTGACAGATCCTGACAAATCCAAAGACTTTCTACAGTTTGTTCCTTTAGTGACTGCATGATAGACACTTAAGGTGCAATGAGGGTATTTAGAGTAAGGATGAATCCTCAGTGCCACTGTCTTCTCCCTGTGTGCCCCATTCCTTTTAGAAGCTGCTCTGAGGAAGGCCAGAGGCTGACTCTTCCCTACACCCAGCATGATGCAGAGAAGCTCATCCCTCTTACGGGAGAAAACATATTTATTAGGAAACAGTATATGTCTTGGTAAAGAGTCATTAGCATACAGCGGGTTTGTTTATGTGAGGAGATGAGAAAGCTTTTCACAGCAGGAGAGTTGTGAGAAACAGGATCTGGTTAACCACACACGACATCTTTCTAAAGCCACCATGTTGGGTAATTGAGAAGGTGGCCCTAGGTACCTTTCTCACCTGGCCTATACTGGGAGGTACTGGGTGAAGACACAGGGTCTCTGGGCAGCATGTTCTATTCTGCCCTGGTCTGTGGTCCATCTGTTCCTCATAAGGTGACTGTGGCCCTTGTGAGTGTCCTGGTGACAACAGCACGTATTCGTCATCACTCGACTTGGCCCTGGGTCACGAGGATTGCTGTAGTAGTAATGTCTGCCCAGGAGGGCCTGGGGTTTCTCTTTATGCCAGCGCAACTCTGATGGGCCACTTCGAAGCTGCAGTCCCAGCTTGTCCATTATGATCTGCTCAACGACCTTCGTGAGCACCCGAGCTTCAGCCTCCCCACCATCCATGAGGACTCTGCTTGTGACAGACCCTCGGCTCTGGGTACTGGATGATGGGTGCTCATGTTTTGGCTGGGAGTCTTCCTGACCTTTGCCTTTTGTATTAATGTTAAAGTATTGCAAAATATTCTTCATCTTCCTTTTGATAGGGCTTTCTGGAGGAGCTTGTCCCTTCTGTGGTAGGCATGGGGATGACTTGCTCCCAGTGGCAACTATTTCCCTGACCTTAGCATGGGGGCTCAACCCCCCAGCTTGGGAGGACCTCACTGCTGCAAAACTTTCTTCCAGTTGTCCTTGTGTCAGCCTCCCACAGTCTTCTCTCCTATCAGGGTCATCTAACATCTTTGTGTTCTTCTTTCCTGTAACCTTAACTCTGGTGAGATGTGGTTCCTGCTGGACCAGCCTGTGCACTTCCTTCTTGAAGTGGTCACATGGATTCTGAAAAGTGACCACATTGCTGCTAGAGGTGCACTGGGAACTGGATAAAGAGGACTGAGAATGTGGGCTATCTGTGGTGGGGAGCACGTTTACTTGGCAATCCGAACGGATGCCAGGGGCCATGCCCTGTGACTCCTTCGCTAACTCCATCTCCTGTTGAGATTCAAACACCTTAACTACGTGTGCTTTCAGGTTTGTATCTACAGGGTTCTGCCAAATAGAAAATCTAGTAGGGGAGGAGATGTTACTGGTCCCTGGCACCTCTGAACCCTTCAGTTCCAAATTTATGATTTGGGAGTTTGCCATCTTACTGGTTTCCATGTTCACGTCCGATGCAGGGGACAGCTTGTCCTCCACCTGCACTATCTCTTTGGTCACTGAAGGTTGAGACCCTGACTGGATCTCCAGCAATGTCAGGTTCAAGCCTGTGTCTCCTGATGCCTCATTAGCTCTCTCTTCTAGTAGATCATGCCTGTACATTGCTGTGCTCAGACCTGGCTCAATACTGCCTATCCCAGTTCCCAGGACAGTCCTACTCAGCTGGATTCTGTTCTTGAAATTGTAGGAGCTGAATTGCAAGGACAAGCTGTCCTCCTGTTCATGAGGATGGGCTTCTGCCAGCACACATTGTCCACCAGATGGGGTCACAGTCTCTGCCTTCTGCAGCTCTGCAGGTGTGTGGGCAGGGAACTGATTCTGCAGGGTAGCTAGTGACATTTTTCTTATCACCTTCTCTTTTCGAACTTTCTGAGGAAGTTCTTCCAGGAAATTGGCCACCTTTGCAACATAGTCACCTGAGGAAGGAATGGCAGGCTGTGGAAAGGGTGAGGCTGGAGCCTCACTTAAATTGACATTCATTGACTCAAGGACCTGAAGGTGTGGATCCCATCTGTGCCTCACTCGGTACCTTATCATACCGGTTTCTAGCACCTGGTGACTTTTAGGATCAAGGAAGGAAAGCTCCTGGGAGGTGTTCACCCTGGATGGCTGACCCTCACTGGGTGCCTTATGTATGGGTTTCATGTGGGTGTTGGACTTGGGAAAATCATGGTTGGTAGCAAGCCAGGATTTACGCACACACAGAGGGATCATGCCTTCCTTCATTAGCTCCAACTTCCTGCTCAGGTGGACTTGCAGGATTTTTTCCAGATATTCCTTGTTTGGGTTTGTAGATAAGTGAGTACCTGAGTGACACTTCCCAGGCCTCAGCAAGCAGTGTTCTGATTCTTCCATCAGGTTCTTCAGTGATGGGCTCCCTGTACTCCAGTGTAGATCTTCTGGGTTCTTCCTTAAATCTTGCCTGTGAACCTTGCTTGGGTCAACTAGTTTGAATGTCACTAGACTTTTCTTAGATGATCTTCCAGAGTATGTGACCCCACCTTCTGTATACCCTTGCTACTCTCACCAGTGAGATCAGAAGGCTTGATGGGCTGGAAGGGCCCATGCTTGTCCTTTGCTTGGCACTCATGCTTCTCTGGGAATTTGTCCTCAGGCTGCTTCAGCTCCTGGGATGCCAATCTGATGAATGCTGATGGAGCTGTCATCATGTATCTGGGGGTTGACTTGGTGGTGTGGGTGTCCTGACTGCCTGTGGGATGGTTGAGAGTGGGTTGCCTAATGGCTTCCTGAGAGTTTTGGAATTTAGAGGCTAAAACCTTCTTCCATTTCAGTTGTTTCTGCCAGGGACATTCCAGGTTCTGGTCTTCATTTGGGGTGAGTGATTGTGCCTTATGCTGGGACCTAGAGGAAGTTATTATACAGGACCTAATCTGGGATGAAGAAGGTGGTTGGCTTGGGGAAGAACATGTCTGTATCTGAACCACTGATGGTGACATGCTTTGCCTCCAAAGTTGGGGTTGGGCTACTTCCTGGGGTAATTGCTCAGCACAGAAAAGCTGTGGAGGTCCTTCAGCCTGATGTTGAACTGGGAGGGAGTTCGAGACTTTGTTGAACGCAACAGCTTTAGGTTGGGCAGAGGAAGACCTGTTATGGACCCAGGCGGTAGCCACCAGGGACTCACTGTGCAGAGAGGGCGGACCCCAGAAAAGCTGGATGCATTTCTCTTGCACTATATTCCCCAGGTCTATGGAATAAGAGTGCTGTTGAGAACTGGGAAGTGCCTGTGGTCTCCCTTTCCTGGTCCAGAAGGAATTTGACCCAGTGTTTTGTGGGTTACCTTTTAACTTCACTAGGTTACCTGGAGAATCCAGGGGATAGTCTGGGTTTGTTGGCTGGAAAAATGACCCTTTTTTATCTGTTTTCTCCCACAGTTTTAGATCCGCTCTTTTGGTGATCAGTGACTCCAGATGTTTCTGGACATTTGGTTCTAAGAAGGAGAGCCCCCCAGCCTCTGTCTGCCAGTGTGTGGGGTCTCCCAAGGTGGCTTCAGGTGGTAGGGGAGACAGACATTCTTGGTTTTTTGCATGTGCCCAGCTAGGGAAAAGTAAGGCCTTGGCAGTTGCCCACCACCAGAAGAGTATAGAAATGGGATGGTTGCAGGGGTCAAGGCCTGAGTTGTTTCTAATTATGGATGTCAGATATGAGGTACCAGGACCAGAGCTCTGGGGCACAGTACCCAGTGGGATTCTTTTCAAGTCAGACTGGTCTTCTTGATGTTCTACTGAGAGGGGAGAGACCAGAGGCAGTTGGCCCTGAGTCAGAGGAGCCTGGGAAGGCAATGGTGAGAAGGTGTTTGGAAAAGGATTTCCCACACTCTGCCTAGGTGTCCATTGCTCTGTTGTAGGCCCAGTTCTCAACACTTCACTTGTGGTATCAGCGTGTAACAGTTCATGCAAGCCTTCTTCATCATGGAGTTTCTCTAGACGGCTACAGGAGACAGGAGGTACAAGATGCAGCCAGGTTGGGCAGGGGTGGGCACATGAAGCCCTAGGCCCCTGCACTGCTTAACATGTTCACTTCAAAAGCCCTTTCCCTCCCACAACCCAGAACAGTAGTCACATCTCACTGCACCCTTGAATCTGTTGCCAGATAAGCTCCCGGCCTAGGATCACATTATAGGTTTCAGTAGGAAGATGGGAGAAAGAAGTGGCAAATTCCTTACCTTTCCAAAATGAGAACCACATTCTGAATTTCTTCTGTTTTTCTAATACAATCTCTAGTCACTGGAAAAGAAGATTAGGTTATGGTGAAAAAGGAGTAAGTTGGAGTATTCCAGAAAGAGGAGTGGAATGTCCCTCAGAGAACATGACTGTAGTTTCTGGATCCCAAATATCAGTGTCCAAGGCCTTTGTCAGTGTTAAAAAGGCACTCAGGGTGAGGGAGGGCATAATTGATCATTTACAAAGTGCTCCACCTCCACAATTCACCATTGCCTTCATAACCTCCTTGTATGGGAGAAGGGACATGCTGTCTCAAAGAGGAATGGGCCTATGGCAATGAAAGTGTTTGTCCACTGGTGAACCTGGAGGTCCCACCCGCAAATCAAGTTGCCCATCTCACTCACTATTGGGACACAACTGTCACAGAGCCCATCTCAGGTTTGCCATTCACAGAACCTCAAAATATTTGTGTTCCAATTTCCTTCTCAGGAGCCTCTCTCTGAGGGCTTCACAGCTGCCATCCTAAGAGACCTGGCACTGGTTGCTTAGGAACAGGGGACATCAAATGTCAACTCTGGGGAGGAAGCATAGAGCCTACCTTTCAGGTTTCCAGTTTTCTTCCTTTTTTGTTCGGGCCCCACTTCACCTGATGCTAAAAGACAAGAAAGTGAAAAGCTGGGGCTCCATTCTCCCTCTTTTCTCTCTAGAACGCTGTATACTCCCTGTTCTGGATAATGTGACATTGTGCATTTATTGAAGAGAGCTCTGTGTCTTTCCTTTCCTTTGGCTCATTTTTAATGTGGGTAAAAATGTTTTCTGTCTGTGTTCCTTGCAACACACAAGTGGGATTTCTTTGTGAGATCTACCATGGGTGTTCTCTGTCATTGTCCCTCTGCTCAGGAGCACAGACTTAGCCTTGCAGTTGCCTCTCAGCTCCCAATTGGGGTCTGATCCCTGAGGCCATAGACTATTCCATCTTCTGATGGGAGCCTCAGCACAGCCCTCAGAATGAGCCCAACAGAGAGAAAATGCATGGTCCAAGACCCCTCCCATTAGAAGGGGACTGATGATCAGGCCATGTTCTTCCCCCAAAGTACCCAACTGTGAGGAATCCAGCCCTTGGACACTGAGCTGCAGTGAGTGACTTCAGCCTGACACCCACAGCATACTGCACAGATGGTCTTAGAGCTCATGTACATGACCCAGTGCCCACACTAGCCCTGCCCAGACCTACCATTCACTACGAGAAGGATGCTCTGTTCCTCACATTTCCCCTCTGATAGCATCCCTGCTTCTTGATTAAGAAAAGTGTAAACAGTACCAAAACAGAGATCCCCATCTTCTTGGTGGTTGTTCTATGCAGGTTCCTTACCTTCTTCAGGTTCTTCTTTTCCACAGCTGGTGGTGAAGATGGATTACTCTCGAGGCAAGGCAATACTAGTAAGAAAAGTCCCAGTCCACACACAAAGGCAAGGATCATATCCATTGCCCAGGTGGTAGAGCTGGGGTTCATCCATGTCTCACAAATGCTATTCAGAGAAAAGAAAAAATTCTCCATCATCTGAATCGCACTGTTGCTCTCAGGCAACTGAGCTCAGGGAGTTCACTTTGGGAGTAGGCTCTAGGTTACAGGCCTGCATCACAGAGCTGTGGCTTCCTCATCACAAAGTGCTCCTGAGGAGGGGTGTGGAGTGATGTCAAAAAGAGGCTGCACCAACGCCCCCCCACCTCCAGCCTAGCATATCCTCCCTACCTCTATGTCAACCTGATCAGCCTGTCAAAGATGGACCTTAGTTTGTTCTTGTTCCTTCCCCCTTGAGCCCAGACATTAGCTGCTTCCTTGGCAATCTCTTCTTGAAGTCTATCTCTTTCATAGTTTTTGTATCTCTGGCTTGTCTCTGGAATTTTTTTTGTTCATGTGGTTTTGTATTCTCAAGATCTCTGTGTGAACTGCAAATCTCCCAAGTAATGTAGTCATTCCTTGCATCCACTCATACATGAAAAATAAATTTCTTTTACATTAATATAGCTTTGTGAATTGTTTAAAATTTAAAAAATTTTTATCTCATTTCATTATCTTCAGATACAATGTCTGAAATAAACGTAATACTTTCTTCCTGATTCATTGTGGCTAAATAAATATAAAAATTAAAATAAACCTTCAAAGTATGTTTTTGAATGCTTTTAATATTTTCCTTCTAATAAAATTGCAGAAAAACCTTTTGAAACCACACTGGTACACACACACTTCCACAAATGAATCCTATTTTTGAAAATCTGAGAATGAACTATTTCTTGCAATTCAAACATGTTCTCATAGTATTTTTAGCAGCATGCTCTATGCAAGCAGCAAAACTTTCCATCTTTGTTGCTCTGGGAATGTAATTTTCCTTACATTTTAAAGGATTTACTACATATGGAATTTCTGATTGACATTTTAATTTCTTTTTTGTTTTTTCTTTGTTTATACAACCTCACTCTCCTGCTTCCATTGGTCTGATTGGAGTACAGCTGTTGATCTTCCTGTTGTCCCCTTGTACATGAAGAGATGTGTTCCTCTGTTGCCTTTTGGATTGTTCATCTTTCCACACTTTGAGTGTGATATATCTAAGAATGCACACATTTACTCTAGTTTTACTAGAGCAGCCATTAAATCTACAGATCAGTGTTTTCCACGAAATTTGGTAAAATTTCAACTATTGTTTCTCCAAACATTTGTTCTCCCCACCACCACCACTCTTCTGCCTTTTCTCCTGAATTTCTTAGACTCATTCCACTCCTGATGGGATTCTTGATGATCTAGACATTCTGAGAGTCTGGCCTTATTTGCTGAATGGATGTTGGCTCCAGTGTGTTGTCTGGCTGTAGTCTGTGGCTATACTTGCAGGCTCTCAATTCTGTTTCATTGATAGGTCATCCATTTTTTCTCCATGATTACATTGTCTTGATTCCTGTTCCTTCCTAGTAGTCTTGAAGTCAGATGTTGTCAGTCCTACACTCCCTCCCTCACATTGGTCTTCTGCAATACTGGTTGGGCACTTCTAGGACATTTCCATGTCCCTATAAACTTTAAAATCAGTTTTTCAGTATCCCCAAATATCTTGGTGGAATATTGTGGGATTGTATTAAATCAATAGAGCAATCATGGGAGCACTGACATCTTAAGGATATCCCGTCTTCCTATGCATGTGAACATGAACCATCTCCAAATTTATTTTTTACTTCTATGATGTCTTCTACCACAGTTTTATGGCTTTTTCATACCATGGGTATTGGACAAATTTGAGGTTCCTTCTTAACCTGAGTATTTAATGTTGGGGATAATATTAGTGATATTATGTTCTAGATTTCATATTTCACTTGTTCATTCCTATTATGTAAAAAGTTACAGGTTTTTGTATATTAATATTTTACCCTTCAATTTTGCTATAATTCTTTCACTCTGAAGTTATGGTTGATTTTATTGGGTTTTCTGTGTAGCCAATCTGTCACCTGAAAATAAAGACAACTTTATCTTTCTTAAGTCTGGGTATTGCAATTTCTTTTTTGTGTCTTAGTCTGTTAGCTTTCATTTCCTGTGTGATACTGAAAAACTAGTGAGAAGTGAATTCCCTGCTTTGTTTATGAGCTTAGCTAGAAAGCTTGGAATTCTTCATCATGCATGTCACTGTCTTATAGATGTTCCTAATTAAGTTGTGGATCTTTGCCCTTAATTCTAGTATATAGATGTAAAATATGAGTGAATGTGGAATTTTTCACATGCTTTTGTTCTGCATATACCACTATGAACATTTGATTTCTTTTCTTTCTTGGCACTAGTGGCATATGAACTCAGAGTCTTGTGCTGGGCAAGTGTTCCACCTCTTGAGCAACACTTCCAATGTGAGTGTTTTTTCTAATGACTGTTGATTGATTACACTGACTATTTATGTGGGCTTAACTAGTCTTTCATACCAGAGGTCAATGCCACTTTGTTGTTCTGAATACTTTTAAATTTTATTATTGGCTATTTTTTGCTAATGTTCTGTTGTTTGTTAGTCATCTCTGTTCTTGACAGAACCTGGTCTATAGTTTCCTGTTCCTACCATATTTTTATCTTATTTTGATATTAGAGCAAAGGTGGCTTGATAGAAATTTAGTGTGTAGTATTTCTGGGCTCTCTGCCAAGAAAAAGAAAGGCAAAAAGTACCTCTTAAGATTTGGTCACAGCTCTGAAAAGAAGCTGAAAGTAGCACACTCTCTGAGAACAGTATTTTCTGGTAATGTGCAATGGCTATTGAAAGTGGAGCCACTGTTCAAGACCTACCGGACATGGTGTGCACTGACCTCTAGCTATAAAGGGCTGTGTGCATAGCCTATTTCCTAGCCTCAATTTATTATAGCAGACCCCTACTCTAAATGAGTGGTATGTGAATTTACAACAAGGCACACTGGCTTTGCCAACAGTTTATGGAATCCCATGCTGTAGATGAGGTTGGGCCCGTTTACTGTGAAACTGGCTCTCCATCCCAGGTTGCCATATGTTATCATAAAAGTGGAAGAGAGAGAGGTCTCCCATACCTCAAAATGTGTATGGATCCTGAAGGGGAACCAAATGCTTAGTTTGCTGCTGCAGTATAACCAGCCACTGTATCTGGCTTGAGAGAAGGGAAAATCAGAAGCAAATGGGCAGAATTATAAATGACTTGTGGCACCTCTTGAGCCATGGCCACTGGATATTTCTATTGTCAACTGGACAGTGAAACAAGGACTTCCATTATAGGTAGCACAGTGGCAAGTAGAAAAATGTTCTCTACTGGGAAGGTGTGTCTGGAGACTCACAACGAATTTGGGAATGGGGGCATGAGCCAGGGGCAAAAATGACTTTATATCATGTATCCAATGATATTAAGATTTCCACAAGCAGAAATATGGAAAGTGATACATTGACTATCCTGCAGGCCCTTGCCCAGACCCAGGCAGCAGACCTGGCCTGTGGGTACATAGGAAGTTCTGTAGAAACTGGTAAATGGAATAAAACATAGCTGAGGGGGTAGGATTGTCCTTAAAATACAAAGATTCGTTAGTGCCCCAACCCGGTGGCAGTTCTGTTCCCATCTCTAGCCTATACTTTAACCCACATCCAGGAATAGATACACCTAGCTTTCCCATAAATATGGGGCCACCAGGTTTATCATATTGATACTGTGCCATACAGTAAAGCGCATCAATGTGCTGTAATCTGTGTAGACACAGCTACCGATCTTAATTTAGTTTCCCTAGCAGGAAACCTAATCATAACAGCACTATCTAAGGACTTGGAATCTAGTGAAATGCATGGGGACCTGAAAAGGATTTACAGTGAATAAGGCACCCAGTTTGCAGGTCATGTATTCCTCAGACAGGAAGGTTGGCCAACAGGACTGAAGTCCTTGGAGATGCATTAATAAATGTAAATACTAGTAAATCCAATGCTCCTGGTACCTGTCTAAACGTGGGAGCTCTGTCCCTTTTCCCACAGACCATCCAGGTGCAAAACTGCCAGAGTTGATTCTGGCATTAAATGCAGGGTAAAGGACAGTTCAGTGGGGCTCACGTGGGTTGTCACTGTGGTGATGGGTCAGCACTTTTGTGACACAAGTGGAGGAACCTCTAGTCCTCCTGTTTTGTCCTCATTGATTGTATTGGAATGTGGACTTGTGTTCATAGCTGATGCCACACGTGGGCTAAAAAACGACATCAGGGTGACTCCTTCTTGTCTGGTACGCCATTCTGCCTTCAAGTTTAGGAATTGCTCATGGACACCATCCTTCTGGCCAACAGGTATGGGATGCTTCATGACATTTGTCGGTAGCTGCTGCTGCCATGGTCTCTAACAGAAAGGGTGTCACCTTGCTGTATGGTACAGATCAACCTTTGCAAGACCCTGCTAATCATTTCTTTTCCATCCATTCCTGCAGTCATTTACTGATTTTTTTCCCTTTTTTCCATGGAAACTTTGCTATTGTCAAGAAAAAAATTGACTGTACATCTTAGATATCACAAGTCTCATGTAACGCATGAAAACCCTACAATAAATGCCTCATCTGATAATGTCATCCTATAGGAATAATGGTAAGTCATTGGTTTGGTTCTGGTAGAACAAAACTCTTTGTTAATGTATCTGTGTTATTGTTCCCTATCTCTTTGTGCATGTGCCTCTATCTCAGGGTGCATTGTGGGAGTGGGGGGACACGTGAGAGAGTAAGAGCCTGTTACAACGGGTGGAATTTGTAGCTTTAGCTTGACATGACAGAAGTCACCTTGAGTTGTATGGACCATGATTTCTCCAGAGTAACCCTTCTTGGTTTTTCCTGCATAGATTACAGGGAGCTATTATTAAACAAAACCATTAGAGTGTTATGTGGAGCTTCCAAGATGCTTGTTCAAGGAATGTGTCTGATACTTTGATGTTAAGATATACCAGCTACATTCCACTTGGATTCCTAACCCATGTATACTTCCTGTTTTTGACCCAAATTGTGGGGATCTAGTTGGTCTTGTTACCATAGGAGCACACTTCTGTCTATATGTCCTGCAATAAAAAATCCTGTGCAATTTTAGATACATCTGCCTCTTGGTCTTTGGTCTCCTGGCTCTTTGGTGCTGGTTCTCACATGCCAGAACAAACCCTCAAATGACAGTAGAAGCCTAATACTTAGGGCTGGAACTGGTCTATGTTTGTTGAAAGTAAATAGGCTGTTTTCATGTAAATTCACACTGGTTTGTCATACAATGGAGCACATTTTTTTACAAACACATAAAAATATTTTTCAGTTCAAAATATTCATGTACTTTTTCCTTTGTCATGGTATAGTTTACAATTTAAATGGGATACGCCTCCTGTTCTCTGATCATTACATGATAAACAGGCACCACCTATTGACCGCCAGCCCAGCCATGACCCACATCAGTATGTTCCATGGCCCACCAAAGTGTCCAAGCTCTTCTGCATGTTTTGGGGGTTCACCAACTTTGCATGTGGGGAATGCAGCTGTGGTGGCAGCAGGTTCTCTCTGCCTTTGTCATAAAGGTGATACACAGGATGACAGGACTCAAGCTCTTGGATGTACCTCACATTGGCCTGAGCAAGTTTCAGGTTGCTTGGTATTCACTGAGTGCTCCACAGGAGTTGGTCCTGAGTTCAAATGTTTTCTTCTTTACCCTTCTATGTGAGGGTAAGCATGCAAATAAACCACAGCTCCCCTGGTGAGTGAGCTGGCTCGCATTGTGGCTGTCAGAGAAGGAAAGGAACACCTAATGCAGTGTGGTCAGGCTAAGATACTTACGGTGCAGTGATGAGAATGTGCTTTGGGAACTCACGTATACAATCTACATAGAAATATCAATATCCACAGAAAGGATTAACCATTAGTCTGGCTATCACAACCCAGCCCAAGACAAGAACAGGAAGCCAAAGCAGACATGATCAAAGGCTCAGGGAGTTTCAGTCCGGTGGGCTACACCTCTGGAATAAATGTTGGCTTCAGGCAGCGTTACTCCTCAAGAGAGGAAACAAGGGAAGTCATCTACAAATTCACTCTGGTTCAAGGAGACTAGGCCATTTCCTAAGGAGATTTGACTTGGTTTACACAACTGATTGGAAAATGCTGGAGGATCAAAATGGTTGGGGAATATTCAAATACACATTTGTGTTTGGAGAAAAGTTGATATTGATCCCCTTTGGCTCTAATATTGTCATACTGCTTTAAGTTCACCTAGGCTTTAAAGATCTTCCCCCAAATCATGAACTAGAAATGGATTCTGGTTTTCTTTAAAATCCAATAATTCATTTCCTCCATGCCTGTAGCTTCAGCTAAAACCTGCAAGTAGAACATCCATTACACCCTCAGTCCTAACTTGAAAGTGTCACCTTTATCAGGAATCATCAAATACACCACAAACCCACCATGTGTGAAATTGAACCCATGATACCACACTTGTTCCTTTGCTGTAGGCTATTAGTGTCTCACCATTTGTGCCAGAAGTACCCAGTCACCCCTGACATCCTTGCCCCCCAGTATCCCATCATTCTGGTCTTCTGCTAAGGCTGTGTAAAGTGCAGCCATGCCAGGCTTTTCCCTGACATCATCCAAGTCCAAGTGGCCTGTGATTCTTGACTTCTGCAGGAGAAACCAAGATCCACCCTTATCTCCCACAATCCATTCTCCACATGAAAAAGGGTTGCCTTTACAGATGCTTATCAGGCTGTTAATCCCCTTCTTAGTACACTGTACTTGTTCATGAGCTAAAGGGAAAGACTCTATAATAAACCACCACAGCATTTCAGTATGAAGTATAAACCTCACTTCCAGTATGATTCTTCAGTTATACAGATAGACAGTTATTTTTATAGATTCTCTATATATGAATGTATAGGTACATATATATATATATCGGGATATATGCACAAGCACTACTAAATTTTTTAATTAAAATATCATATACATAGTTTAGAGTCTGAAGCATTGTTTAAGTCCACTATATGTTCTTTGGTCACAGTGGCGCTTATAAAACTCAGGATATATTCTGGTTCTTGTCTAATTGTCTAATTGGTCAGTCTGAGATATGTTCTTGAGTTCTGAAGTGAGACTAATTATCAGTAATGTCAGTAAATAGGATTTACATGAGGCTATGCCTCTTCAGAGAGAAGTTACCTACTGTTTTCAATACTATTGGTGAAAATTATATTTTATTGAGTTAAATTTCACAGAAATAAAAATAAGATATACCACTACTTAGAGAGTAATTGTTTGGCATTAAGTGCATTTACATGTTGTGCACCAATTGCCTGTGTGTATTGAAAAAACATTTTTATCATCCCAAAAAGAGACACCATACTCATACGTAGTCTCCCCCGCTGGCAACAAATGACCTTTTGTATCTTTGTCCATCTAGCATGATGTTCTTCAGGTCCTCTATGTTGTCGTATGTATCAGCACAATACTCTTTTGATGGCTGAATAATGTTCCCTTGTATGAATAACACCACACTTCTTAATCTACATCTGGAATTTGCTCCCTGTGGGATTTCTTGGATGCTCATTACCACTGACTCCCAGGCCTTGCTCTCTCCTGAGAAGTAGAGCATTGCCTAGAACTCTTCCTAACTAAGAAAAAGTTACTTCCATTACTTAAAGTTGAGGGAATCAGCTTCTTCAATACAGATATTCATATAATCAGTGTCATGCAAAAGACTGTCTCCTATTACTTCTTTACAGTCATCTTTTTCCCGGCTTTATTCCACTCCCCCTTAACAGCCTCACTGACAGGTTACTCCAGAGGCACCTGCACAC